ACCACACCTGGCCTGACTTCCAAGAAAGCTGATGTTTTGCTCAAGTAAATGAAATAATTTAATAAAAGTGCTTGAAAATCTTGCTCTGATTTTACGTGGGAGGGCAGCTTAAATCTGTTTTTCTCCCATAACTCTGGTGGTGTTTTTGATGAATTGTTGTTGTTAAGTGTCATCGAGTGGGTTCTGACTCATAGTGACCCTGCATAGGGCTTCCGAGGAGTTTGAACCACCAACCTTGCAGTTCAAACTGACCTTGAGGTGGAGTGCTTATCCTACGGTGCCACACTAGGATAGTCAACCCCACACACACACAAAAAAAACCTGATCTAAAGTCATTTCTGAGCTTCCTTCTACATAGTGTGTACTTTATATACTATCTTACACTTTCTCATGCAAATTAAACTGTTGTTGATTGTGCCCGTTAAAAATAGATCTAATCCATTCCCTACAGAAATATGCTGTTGTTGTTGTTAAGTTCCACCAAGTTGTTCTGACCCATAGTGATCCTGTATAGGGTTTCTGAGGAGTGGCTGCTGGATTTGAACTGCTAATCTTGTGGTCAAAACAACATTGTACAATAAAAACCTTAAAAAAAAACAAACATTGTAGTCGAGTGCTTATCCTGAAGTGTTATAAGAATCCACAGAAATGTTGTTGTTGTTAAGTACCATCAAGTCGGTTCTGACCCATAGTGACCCTGTACAGGGTTTCTGAGAAGTGGCTGGTAAGCTTGAACCATTGACCTTGTGGCTCATATGACTCTGCAGTCCGGCACATTAACTCACAGTGCCACACCAGGACTCCAGAAATGTTGTTGTTTTTAAGTGCTGTCGAGTCGATGCTGACCCATAGCAACCCTGTATAGGGTTTCCTAAGAGCAGCTGGTGAGCTTGAACCGCTGACCTTGCAGTTCAAACGGGTTTGCAGTCTGGCGCATTAACACACAGCGCCACACCAGAAGTATTAGTGTCTGTGAATTTCAATGCACTTATTTCTTAGATGAGTACATCTACTTGTCTCAAAGACAGTGGAGGCTGTAGGGGATTTCTCTACACTATCTGAATCTTCAGGGACTACATTCGAAGAGTGGAGGTAGAGAATGGTGCCCAGGATGGCATAGTAACTGGAAAGTATTACCAGCTGAAGCAAATTTTCCATAGCGCTACAGCTCGATTAAGATTGAGATCTGATGTGGACCAGAGCTCCTCACCAAGCGTTGTTCTGTGGAGCATTAAACTTCACCTTGCATGCTTGTGCTTCTTCAGAAGATCCCTACAGCCACATTTCTCCTTTTCATTTCTTCTGCATGGTTCTGCCATTGCAGGTTTACTTTCCTATTATTTCTCTCTCGCTCTCTTTTTTTTTGTTTAACACATTCTCCATACATTTGTCAAGTACCAGATCCTGGGGATACAAATGAACAGAACAGCCCGACCCTCAAAGATCAGTTGCATTATAAAAGGGAAAACGTGTAAGTGAGCAGATGTTTTACAGTGTAATGTGAGAATGTGGTGTAAGAAGTTCTAATGTCTTGTTGAAATAACATGGAGAGTCTGCGGCCCGGACCGCAGGTGGCAGTGGGGTTGGAGGGAGAACGGCATTTGAGTGACAGGTGCTTCAGTGCTACCTTTTCATTCTCAACAGCTGGGTCATGTAGATAGTCCCATTTTACAGATGAACAAATAGGCTCAAAACATAATCAAGGTCACATAGCTTAGGTGCTCAGGAATGGGGCAAAACCAAATATCGGGATCTGTTTCTTACCTCCTCCGCTCACAGCTAACTAAAAGCAGTCACGCCCAGAATGGAGGTTGGAGCCAGCCTTCAGGGATCTAAATGCTGAAAGAAAGCCTGCTAGGCCTAGGTTGTTGATACCAAAGTCACAGCTTTTCCTACCAATGCACCCAACTCTAAGACATTTGCATTCATGTGTGCTGTATGAAATCAGGAAAAGCTTTAACAAAGGGGACATTGGAGCTGGGTCCTAAAGGATACAGAGCTTCCTAGACAAGAGCACATTTCCAGGATAAGATCATGTGCCCCAGTCACGATGCACTAGTCTGGGTAACTGCAGATCAGCAGATCTGTTTGCAGCCCTGACCTTGTCTCAGGGACATCGATCTCAGAGCTCAACTCTGCGCACAGTTATCCTAGCCCGCCATCAGATGGGCACTTGAGTTGGGATGAGAATCACAAATGGAGTGGTGCTTCTTTGCATATTACTTGATAACACTAACAAGTGAAACTAAGAATTTCAGGGTTTTTGTAAACGACATCAAACTGTCTGGAACCAAGCTGCAGCACAGAAGGCTGGGAGAAGGATGATGGTAAACCTGAACATTGTCCTGTAAGAATTGTGGCATGCCACGTGACATGATACTTCAGAAAGCCATCTCGTGTCACATGGGAGATGGGGAAGACAGTGCCGGGATGACTACTTGAGAGACCACAGTCATAACCACGGTGCAAGATGGCAAGAGTTTAAACTGAAGCCAAGGGAAGAGGAGGGACTGGATGTGGAAATATCCTGGTGAGCTAACTAACCAGAATTGATGACTGATTGGGGGCAGGAGTCAAAGGAAACTTGAACTGGAACCTTTGGGAAGATGGTTCTCTTTGTTGAAGCAGGGAGAAGAAGGCTTCGTGAACCATCTGGCCTCTGGTGCCACTTTGCTGTTGCATTGTGAAGCAGCCAGACAACACATTTACAAACAGGTGTGGCTGCCTTCCTAGTTGGCTGCCCTCCCATCTAATTCATGAGAACATCATAAACAGTTGACTGGTGCCGCATGCTCCTGTCTAAATTCAGACTGCTTCATCATCACATCATTTATTGACAATTGAGCCCAAGAGTGGTTTATCCAAGTTGTGGGTCATTCATGTTCCTTCTACAATTGGAATGAGAACTACAAGTGTTACGCTATGAACCAAAAGGCCCATCCTCCCAGCTGCCCTGAGCACATAGTCCCACGGTGTTGGGCTCCCCCTGGTGGAGTTTATAAGAGCTACAAGCTACGGTGTGGCTTTTTAGAATTCTCTTTAGTAAGGTAGTGTAGGAAATGGTGTGATGCTGCAGGTCAATGCGCTGGACTGCAAGGTCGGTTTGAATCACAAAGTGGGTGGTTCAAGTTCACCAGCTGCTCCTAGGAAACCCTATGCAGGGTTGCTGTGAGTCAGAACCAACTTGAAGAAACTTAATGGGAAATGGAAACTGACTACACTGCAACTGTACAATTATAATAAAAACAAAACAAACTCCCTGACCTTGATTCCAACTCTTAGCCACCCTACAGGACTGAGTAGAACTGCTCTATAGTTTCCAAGACTGTAATTTTTTTTTTAAGTTTTTATTGTGAATTGAGTAATAGTTTACATGGGAGAACATCAGTTTTACACTCGTTAAATTGCAATTACAGTCTCCTCCATGCATCATTATTCAACAGTATTTGCTTCCATTCCCTCTGTTTTATATACATATCTGTTTTTATATACGTCTGGGGGATGTATACAGAAACACTCAGGAATATATAATTATTTGAACAACCAAAGGGCACATTCTGCAAGCCTGCCTCCTGACCACCAGCAGAGTCTTCCATTTTCCATGAGTCTAAAGTCCTCAGCTGCTCCCTCTCTCCATGTCCTCATCTGTGGTGTCACGTCTTCTCTGGATAGGGTCCCACATTCTGCTCATGCTTCTCTCCCTTGATGGTCCTAGGGTCCTCTGTTCCTGGACTGTAAGATTAACTAATCTCCCCCCCCCCTACTTTTTGTTATTGTTACAAAACTTATACCTTTACAGTTGTGGCAGTCACAATTATCCAAGACTGTCATCTTGTAATGCAGCTCTTGTCATTTTTATGGAGTCTTGGTGTAACAGTGGAGCATAAGAACTTGACCATAAGGTTAGTTTCAAGTGCAAGGTAGGTGGTTCAAACTCACCGAGTCGGACCGATTCCACAACACTTACCAGCAATCTATATGGAAGCAGACTGTTGCATCTTGCTGCAGAGCAGCTGGTGGGCTTGAACTGCCTACCAGTCTTTTCAGTTAACTGCTGAACACTTAACCACTGTGACACCATCAGAGCTCCTCCGTCAAATAGACTGAACACGGTTTATACTTTAGCACATTAGTCAGTGTTAAATGTTTGAAGGCTGTTGGTCAACTGGCGTTGGAACTGAGCATGAAAATTCCAGAAATGGGCTTATTTCAAATTTGTATATATTGATACACTGTAAAAGTTGGTGGTTCAAGCTCACCAGCCGCTCCTCAGAAACCCTATACAGGGTTGCTATGGGTCAGAACTGACTCAACAGCACTGAACAAGTTGTTTTATAGGGTTGCTTTGGGTCAGAGGAGTCCTGATATAGTACTGTGGATTAATGCATGGGACTGCAAAGTTGGTTTGAACTGCAAGGTTGGCGCTTTAAGCTCACACTGCCACTTGAAAACTCTATACAGGGTTGCTATGGGTCAGAACCAACTCAACGGCACTTAATGAGTCCAAACCGGCTTGACAGCACTTACAAGTTTTGTGTGTGTGTGTGTGTGTGTGTGTTTTTAATGGAATCCTGGTGTAGCGCTGTAGGATCAGCACTGTACTGTGAACCACAAGGTTATCAGTTCAAACCTAGCAGCAGTTCCTTGGAAACCCTATACAGGGCTGCCGAGTTGGAGTTGAAATCAACAGCAAGCTGTTTTATAGAGGTCCTGGTGTAGGATAGCCCCCACATTGGCAAATCTACCAGCCCCTCCTTGGAAACCTCATACCATGTCACTAGAGTTGGAACCAACTTAACACTTAAGCTGCTTTATAGGAGTCCTCATGGCATTGGGTTTGAATTTACCAGCTGCTTAGTGGTATAAAGGAGGTTTTCCACCCCTGGAAGATATACACCCTCAGAAACCCTACCACAATGATTCAGAACCGACTTTGCGGCACACAACAAGCAGCTGTTTATTTATCCTCTAATTTTTCATGTTTTCATTTTGGTTCTCAGGGGAGCCCTGGAAGCTTATGTACAATCAGTAAGAAGTAGAGAAGGCAAAGAATTTGCACCTGTGTACCCCATAATGGTTAATCTGCTTCAAAAAGCAATGTCTACTCTTCAGTAACAATGTATTTGTTCATCTCCACTGTAATCATTCAGGCTGACAGTCAAAACGAACCAGACAGCTACTATCTACTGCTTTAAGACTGTAAATGATTTTTGTCTATTTCCTATTGATCTTTATGTTTACCTCTTTAGAGCTCCTCCTTTGAGTAGGATAAAATGTCAAAATACTATTTATCAACACAAATTTCCTTTTCCAAAAGTGCATCTCTTTTGCCCTGATTCTCCTACAAGGTTGGATAAAACGCCTTTCCCATAACGTAACTGAGTCCACTTGAAGATGTGCACATACGCACATACACACACACAGTCCCTCCGCTTTAAAAGAGATACGATCAAGTTATGTAAAACGTGTCCTGCTTCTCCCCAAACTATCTTTTTACTAATAAATGTATATAGCTCAGTTGTTCCCAAACTGGGCTGCATATTGGAGTCACTGGGAGAGCTTTAAAAGTCCCTGCTGTCCGTGTTGCAGCCCACACTAACAAAGTTAGAATATCAGCTTCCCCAAGGGATTCCAATATTCAGCAATGTTTAAGAGCCACCGTTACTGTTTAAATGCCATGCTGTATCTTTAAATAAAGCTAGGCTTTCTGTACACTGTGTCATCATTTTGTTAAAAGCAGACTTTTGGGGCCTTGTTATGGAGTGAACTGTCCCCTGCCCCCCACCCCCACCCCACACACACACATCATAAACCCTAATATCTGTTTGTGGTTATAATTGCACATTAACTGCTTCTGAGATACAAAAGAGGTTGTACGAAGAAGCCAGAGTTGGAGTAAGAGAGATGCCGCTACATGAAGGTCACCCATTAGCTCTGAAGAGACAAGGACCTTCCTCCAGAGCTCACAAATTCTGAGTTTAGGATTCTGGCCTCTTAAAACTACGAGAAAATACATTTCTATGTGTTGAAGCCATCCATTACTTGTGGCATTTGTTAAGAGCATCACTGGATAACTGAACAGGCTGTTTAACCTTGTATCAAATAGATCAAATTAAAAATAGAAACCATTTTCATTCTATATAGATTCCCTATAAATAATCTAGGCCCCAATTTGTGTATTTTTTACTTGCCCTGTTAACTTTATTTTTAATTTAAAATTTTAAGTCGTATCAGCAACATCCCTAATTATAAAATCAAAACAAAAGTCTTGTGAGTGTTAAGAATTTGCCTTGTATTTGTCAGCCCCAGAACCTGGTTATTCTGACAGCTCAAGCGTGGCATTCAACCAAGGTCAGTCAGCAGAAAGCAGAGACAAGCATTTTTATTTTTTACCATTTTATTTGAAATAATATACAAGAATATAGTGTGCAAAATTTAGGGGCAACGTCATGAAGAAGTGTAATGAAATGAAATCAATTTTACAGCTGTGATTCCTAACCAGAAACACCACTTGGTAAGTAACATGAAAAGCCATGATTGTAGCTCAGAGCAAATGCAGCTGTATTGCCGATGTATTTGCTCTAATTTGAGACAGTCGGAGGGAAAAGTAAAGTGCAAGTGTTGCACTGCAGTAAGTGCAAAGTCGGCCCCCACCATAGATATGATGATGAAATAAGGTATTTAGGATACATGGCTGCTGAGATATAGAACACAAAGTTACAAATACAATGGTGTCGACTGTTACTAGCACCATTACAGTGACTATATCCCAATGCTATTAACTAACTCATCTCGCCCAGGGCTGGGTCTCCCCTGGAAATCATGGAAGGCGCTGCCACCTGGTGCACAAACTCAACCTCCTATGGTAACTGTAGCAGGTGGCTCTGGGACACTGGCAGCCTCTCGGCACTCACCAGACTAGGAGCTCCCGTGTTTGGCACAGATGCTAGGCCATGTGGTTGCTCAAGGGAAGGCCAACTCCCAGCTTCTGCTTCATTCCATCATGTGTACAATACAGATTAATAAGCAGTAAGGAGCCAATGTATAAACAGCAGTTACATATTTTTAAATTCTTTTGTACAATTTAAAATAAAACATGTAGACACTTCGCCTCTCTTTCTACTGGACTTTAGCACCACAGGATGTCAGTTTTCAAGCCTACATTACCTGATAGACATATATGAAGTTTGGAAGAAAAATAAGGCAATTTGGTTTACAATGTTGATAGTTTTAGCTTACTTAATGCTCTAAAGGAGAAAGCAAGTCCTCACTCATATTATTAAATCATTTTAAGATTCAATGCTATCAGTATTTTATGGTCACACGAATTCCGGACAAATGGTGAGACCTAGATCTTAAGTCTTTCCATCGGGAGCCACTGTTTACGTGAATATAGACTTAAGAACGTAAGCATCCTGGTTCAATGTTGTTGTGAGCCCTGTGGGGATAAAAGGAAACTCAGTCAATGTTCACCAATCAACATTCTACATATGAAAACCAAGATGTGTGTAAGACAATGTTTCTAAGTTTACGATTTAAAAAAAGACTGCTCCCTTAAAGGCGGTAATTTAAAAAAAAATTGCTAATACACTGATGGCTCAGGTATCCAGAGAATTAAAAACGATGATTACAAGAGGTAGACTAACATGAACATCCTGCCACATGATATTCTAATCAAAGAACTTCCAAACTGAATTCACCCAACATCTTCATGCACTGGAATTTGACTATTGAATAATTCTTGAAAAATTTTTAATAGATGGACCCAAATTTCACTATAAAAGAAAAAAACACAAATAATGAATTAAAACATCCTTGGCTAGCTCTTTTGCTGCAAAGTACTGACACCTTCATGATAGTTTTAATGACATATCAAATTGAGCCTATTCTGGTCTATTACGTGAAATTTTCTTAAAATTAACCTAAAAATAAGTAGAAAAGTTACAAGAACAAAATCTACCCAAGACAGCAGTCTTATTACCCTTCCTAGGCCTTTACATGTCTCCTCCTCATTCAAGTTCTTAATTTAGAAATTCTGTGCATGGAGGAAGTCCCCATGAAGGCTAGGTAATATACTCCCAGACCTCCAGCCCTCTCTAGCCCTTAGTCAGTTAAGGAAAGAAAGGCTGTTGAGACACACTACCAAAACTTAGAGAAGTGTTCTGCTGGGCTACCAATGGGGTTAATAACATTTACCTTTAAACCCAATTAGAAACACTAAATTCCAAAATTACTTTTCTACCTCAAGTATTTTAAGACTAACGTTCTTCTCAAGCTTGCCTGAGACTTCTATTTTTTTTTTTTTTGCTAAGAGAGTTAAGTGGCACATGATGCTCAAAAGAAAAGCGAGACCCTCCTTACATAAGGACCTAAAAACACTAAGTTTTGAAGTACAAAAATATTGAGAAATAGAATCATTACTAGCAGTTGCTCCCACATGCCAGTACAGCCAAGGGGATCAATCATGATTTTATGTAACTACTTGGGGAAACGTACTGAATTAGTTCTTTTCCTTTTCCAACAATCAGGATTTAAACGTTTTTGTTCTTCAGCCAAAGCCTTTGCTTCTAATGTGTACATCCTTCTTTCTTCATTCTTCATCTTCTTCCACCTGTCACCAAGGATCACACTGATGGCTCTGTAAGATCAACAGTGACATATGCTGAAGCAAGACGTTTCCATCAAACTCCTCCTATAAGCGCTATTCTGCAAAGTTGAAAAAAAGACAAATATCTTGTGCAACAAAGGGAAGGGTCTAAGCACAGTTAGGTAGTGTGTATATTTCCAATCATCCAAGGACATCTAAAATGCCTCACATTGGATGTTCTACAAAGCTTAGATTTAAAGACAATGGAGAAATATTATTTCAAAGAAAAGTTTTAAATTACCACTCAACCTATCCCAGCACATCAATTTTCAAAAGATACTAAGGCTATAAATTAGACGATGTTCAGAAACAGCAGCATGAAGTATTTAACTGGTACTAAAACGATTCTGACTTTCTGCTTCTGTCCATCACCCCCAAACAGTGTGGCAAAGGGCCTTTTCACTCCTGCAACCACAGTGAACCATGTGGTGCCATTAACTATGCACATGCCTTACTGTTTTTCTCCTAAGATGGCACCACAACAACCTTAGGTAACATTCAGACTTAGCACTTAGGAAAAGTCCATAAACGCTAAGATGTCTGAACAGAAGTCTGAAGCTATCTCCTACTGACCCTACTAATGCAATCTCACCCCAGACAGTGAGACACAAACCACTTTCCTTCTATGAAAGCTTCTAACCACTAATTTCATGACACTGCACTCATATAGAAGACCCCAGAGCCTCTTGTGCAGTGTATGCCAGAATTTTATGCTCTGGTATGCAAGTTAAAAGGAGCTCTGGTAGCATAGTGGTTACGAATCGGGCTGCGAACCTCAGGGTCAGCAGTTTGAAACTACCAGCGGTTCCGCGGGAGAAAGATAAGGCTTTCTGCTCCCGTAAAGATTTACAGCCTCGGAAACCCTGTACAGGGTTGCTATATATGAGTTGGAACCGACTCCACGGCACATAACACCACCATGCAAGTTAAAGACAGGCCTCTTTGTTTTAGAAAAACAGTAACCACAGCGACTCTAAGAATGATAAAGAAATTAAATGTAAGTATATTTGTCTTTTTATCCAGTAAGTTGTTGAAATTATAAACATTGTGTTACAACTTTCTTTAACAAAGTAAAAACTAATTTTTATAAGTCCTTGGATAGTATTTAGTTTACATTTTTACCACTCAAAGGAATATAAGAAAAATTCATATATACCCATTTCTATCTTCCAAAGTAAGTAATAATGTTTCTGAAGGGGCCAGTTAACAAGATGAGGCTTTCTGCTCCCTTGAAGACTTAAAAGCCTGGGAAACCGTAGAGTCCCTATGACTAGGAACCAACTCCATGGCACTTTATCAACAATTTAAACCTTCAAGGGCCTTCATTTAAGTTAAAAGATGATGGCTAACAAAACATGTCCACTACAGACACATCATCTGCTGTGTAGTTAATAGGAAGGGGTGTCAAGACGCTTGCAGAAAAGTAGAATTCAAAGATAATGGAATTTTCCCATCAACTTTTGAAGCC